CATGCAAACAGACACACTGCCAGTTAAGAGAGGTAATCGTATAGTATCTTTTAAATAATAGTATTCACCTGCATTTATTTTAATTCAAATGGCATTGGTAATTATGAATCTAAACAGGGATTATTTTAAGATTATTTGGATTAGTGTTAGAAATATCACAAGATAAAGCATTCTGGGAGGGAAAATGCTGTAATACATGCCTGTTCTTAGAAAATATAATTATATCTTCTTTAAAAGCTCCTCAATAGAAATCTACATTTTATTTTTTCAACACCATTTTGGACTGACCTTTGCAAAAGTAAGTAGTCATTCAGTTACATCAGATTTTAGCACATTGACTAAACTGCAAATTGACCATCATAGACATTTTCCTGTTATCCATTTTGTAAAGGTTCCATATAAATTATTTGTATATCAATAACAATTTAATAGGCTTGTGAAGTGGAACTAGATTTTAAAATTATAATTTGTGTGGATTGGAAATATTTGATGCTTGTATACCTGAATATAATCAAATGTAAAAGGAACAGTAAAAGAACAAAGGTTAAAGGGCTGGCAAATGGCTAATTGATTTTAGCCATTTGGCTTGCTGCATGCCCTTATGATACACCCCAAGTTTCCACAGTTAATCTCCCATTATCAGGGATATTTAGGTGGAAAAGGCTGAGAAACTCTAAAAGTTGAGAATATGAGTAATTTATCTTTTTGTATCATTTTAAATATTTGCAACATTACATTGTCTGATAATTTTAAAAAGAGAATTGCTATCTTGTCTCCAGTGATTTTTCAATCTATTTTTCTATATGTCAAAATTTCCCACCTATATTAATGCAGTATCACTAATTTTCAGGAAGAAAAGGAAATATAAGTGATCCCTATAGAACAATAAAAATTGGAATCATCATTGAGCTCTTCTAAATACCAAGCACCGTTTTGGGCACTTTAGTTATTTCAAACTTGCAATAGTTCTGTATGGGAGGGTGTTGCTATCTCTATTTTACGGAAGAGGCAACTGAGGCTCAGAGAGCTTTATTGCAAGCTATTTAGGAGTGAAGTTGGCAGCTAAATTCATATTTTATAAGCTACCCACAGATAGCAGTTTGCTGTGAAAGAAATTTTATGTAGTAGAATAATATGTCCACCTTCCTTTTCAGGCAAAATCATCTACTGGTGTTTCAGTAACAATGTTTACAGGTATTTCCATGTGAACAAACATTTTAAATATCTTTTCCATTGTTGATGCCGTAGCGCCTTAAGCGCATTATTAGTCAGTGGCTTGTTTTCCCAAAGTGAAAATTTTATAAGATCCAGTCTCCCACTCATTTTTACCTCCACTGAAGATTCTCTAATTCTTTCCATGGCTTCTGATAACTCCATAAGAAATAACTCAAGGAAGGCCTTGGGGATCAACAATATGGCGTGCTATAATGGTAAATAGAGTGGGCTGAATTTTGATTTTTAATTTCACATTCCCTTTCGAATATAAAAAAGAAGCCACCCAAAAAAATAGGCTAAGACGGTGATAATAATCAAAATTTGTTTCAGTATGTACTGTGTTGTTTTTAGAAATAATTGAACAAAGTTTATTATTGGAATTTAATTCAGTTCTTAATATGTACATGCATTTAAATTGATCAAAGAACAGCCTTACAAAACTATGTTGCCTTTCAAAGCACTGAGTTAAAATGAATACGTGCCCTCAGATAATTTTGTTGTTGTTGCTAGTGCTGTGGAGTCAGTTCCAACTCACAGTCACCCCACATACAACAGAACAAAATGCTGCCTGGTCCTGCTCCATCCTCACAACCGTTATGCTTGAGCCCGTTGTTGCAGTCACTGTACCAATCCATCTCATTGAGGGTCTTCCTCTTTTTCACTGACTTTATACTTTACCAAGCATAATGTCCTTCTCCAGGGACTGGTCCCTCCTTATAACATGTCCAAAATACGTGAGACAAAGTCTCACCATCCTTACTTCTAGGGACCATAGTGGCTGTACTTCCAAGACAGATTTGTTCATTTTTCTGGCCGTCCATGGTATATTCAATATTCTTCACCAACACCATAATTCAAATGCATCAGTTCTTCTTCAGTCTTCTTTATTCATTGCCCAGCTTTCACATGCATATCAGGCAATTGAAAATACTATGGTTTAGGTTAGGTGCACTTTAGTCATCAAAGTGACATCTTTGCTTTTTAACACATTAAAGAGGTCTTTTGAAGCAAATTTGCCCAATGCAATACACTGTTCAATTTCTTGACTGCCGATTCCATGGGCATTGACTGTGGGTCCAAGTGAAATCAAATTCTTGACAACTTTAGTATTTGCTCCATTTATCATGATGTTACTTATTGGTCCAGTTGTGAGGATTTTTGTTCTCTTTATGTTGAGGTGTAATCCATACTGAAGGCTATGGTCTTTGATCTTCATCAGTAAGTACTTCAAGTCTTCTTCACTTTCAGCAAGCCAGGCTGTGTCATCGGCATATCACAGGTTGTTAATGCGTCTTCCTCCCATCCTGATGCCGCGTTCTTCTTCATATAGTCCAGCTTCTCGGATTATTTGCTCAGCATACAGACCGAATAAGTATGGTGAAAAGGATACAACCCTAATACACACCGTTTCTGATTTTAAACCACAGATAATTCTGAACACCATCAATTTTGTAATGGAGTGTTTTTTTTTTTTTTAATTAAAATGAGATTGTAGTGGAAGTACTATCACTTAACAGTAAATACATATTTATGATTTTTTTTCTTAAATTAATGTCTTGGACTGGAAAGATAAATAATTTATGAAATGGTTGCTTTGGGGGAAGAAATACTTCAATATTATTTGTTTAATTATATCATATGTTAATGATAGTAACACTGAATATTTGTCCTTTATTCTAGGTACTTTTTCTTTCTATTGTATTTAAATTTCTTAAAGTAAAATCAAGTAAATATATCAGGAAAAATGTTTTCATTATTCTTATTAAATGACGATCTGATATTTTTTCTTATGAAATATTTAGTCACAGGCTAGAAAATTATTGGAAAACGCAGAATGCTGCTGTGTGTGTGTATAAACTTACAAATTATTTTGTATAGTCATTTCATACAAAAATATTTGGCTCAGGGTCGGGGTGGGGGTACTCCTGGCAGAATGTTGATTATGCGGACTGATATTTTTCACTGTCAAATTTGCACCATGAGAGAGTTAAATGGATAAACTGTTTGGAACTGGATTCCTAACCACAATAAAAGAGGCATCATGACAGTGAAAGCAAAAGCAAAACAAAACAGAAATTAGAATACTTACATCCTTTCTCTACAGTTTACTAAATCTATTCTCAAGGAAGAGTGCTAGATTCCTTATCTTTAAACTGGGCATAAGAATATCTTCTTATTAGGATGATAATGAGGATTAGAAATAATATATACATAGCACCTAATACAGTGGCTCACATATAATGGTCATTTTAATTTCTACATAAGTTTCTTTGAAAATTGTCTGGAATTAGGCTGTAGGTGACAACAACTGATTCCCTGTTGATACATAATTGATAATAATTTTTAATGCAAGATTTTGGATTCAATGAAGAATTTAATTTGTCTTCAATATAGTTTTTTAATTATGCATTTTTTTCCTAATTCTCTGTACTTTATGTGTGATTACTAGTCAGGGGAAAAAAAGGGAGAGAATATCCCTTTCTCCAAACTATGCCTGTCATTAAAACAATAGAAATTTCTTATCATATGACAGTTGCAGGAAAATTGAAACCCATGAAGAAATACTGTTATCACTTGTTTAAATTATGATTATTGAGGGGGTGTATTTTTCAATTTGTTATTGTACATTTCAATAGCCTCTAATGGAATTCTGATAGAAAGGGAAAGGAAAGCTGTTGTTTGCTACTTACAGAAAATTGCATCTTTGACCAATATAAGACTTGATATGAGGTTTTAATTTATTCATGTACTTCTGTTCTTCATACAATGAATATTCAGAGGTTGACTGGTTTTATAGTAACTCAGTCTATGATTTATGAAGACAACAAAATTGAATAAATCAGGGTAGCATGAGGTAAATGATGTATAAGCAACATAATATAGTAATAGAAATATATCTACTATCCATCATTCAGTTTCAGAGATTTTAGAGCAGGGATGGACTTTGAGACACAACATGACTCAGATTATTAATTTTAGCATATGGATTTTTAAAACATTAGCAAATGTTGATTTTGGCCTTAGAGGTCCAAAAGATGGAACCACCAAAACAACTTCTCATCATCCAGCAAAGAAATATTTTCAACTTTTATTCATTTAGCAGGGACTTGGGATAATTCTCTTCAGTCCTTCTTCCTCCAACCATCAACCTTCACTGTTAAATATACAATGATGAGTTTTCACTTATTTAAGAGGCAAACATGAGTTGAAATTGATTTGATGACACCTATAGACATAGGCATTTTATGACATATTTTGCATTTTATGTCATTTTATTTCATGCTCACAGGTCATGTTTTCTATGTTTTATAGACTCCTGTGAGGCAAGTCTTGTTTTCCACATTTTATAGAAAAGAAAATATCTTCTTTAAGTGTTCACAATGGTTAAGTTTGGATTTCAAGTCAGGTTTATTTCATACATTGCTTCTTGGATGATGGAAAATAATTGCATGATTTCTCCACCTGTTTCCTTATAGAGACAAGTATGTTATGAAATTATTATCTGCCATTTTTACTTTTGTTTTTATGTAAATAATTAATTATGTTATGAGTATTGCCTTTCAAGCATGAAGAGTAAATGTGTCCTGTGTTTTTCATTGGGAGAAAATGTGTGTATCATAGCTATTAACTTACAGCAAAATTTTTAACTTATTCTGTTGCTCAGTCTACTCAGCTAAACAGTCCAAAGCTTAAATAAGAATGCAAAATGAATCCCTTAAGTCAAACTGGCTTTACATGTGCTTTCACTATGCATAATTTATCAAGAACTTTCTTTTTACTCATAGGGATGACTTGTCAAGCTCGAACATCATACACTGAAGATGAAGTTCTTTGGGGTCATCGTTTTTTTCCTGTAATTTCCTTAGAGGAAGGATTCTTTAAAGTCGATTACTCCCAATTCCATGCAACATTTGAAGTCCCCACCCCACCCTACAGTGTGAAAGAACAGGAAGAAATGCTTCTCATGTCGTCCCCTTTAATAGCACCAGCCATAACTAACAGCAAAGAAAGACATAATTCTGTGGAATGCTTAGATGGGCTAGATGACATTAGTACAAAGTTTCCATCTAAGCTGCAGAAAATTACTGGAAGAGAAGACTTTCCAAAAAAACTCTTGAGAATGAGTTCTACAACTTCAGAAAAAGCCTACAGCTTGGGAGATTTGCCCATGAAACTGCAACGAATAAGTTCAGTTCCTGGCAATTCAGAAGAAAAACTGGTATCTAAAACCACCAGGATGTTGTCTGATCCCATGAGCCAGTCTGTGGCTGATTTGCCACCAAAGCTTCAAAAGATGGCTGGGGGAGCAGCCAGGATGGAAGGGAATCTTCCAGCCAAATTAAGAAAAATGAACTCTGATCGATTCACATAACAAAACACCCCCCCCTTAGGCATTATTTAATGTTTGATTTAGTAATAGTCCAATATTTGGCTGATGAGGTAATCCTCCCTAAGGAGTATGAAAGGTACATTTTTCCTTACAGTTCTATATGCATATTTGAGAACCTTCCTTCCCAAGTATTGCTGCTGTGCAAAGAGCAAAATTATGAAGGGAGGACATTGTAAGGGCATGTATTATCACATCAAGCATGCAATAATGTGCAAATTTTGCCTTTAGTTTTATGGCATGATTTATATATGGCATATTTATATTGTATATTCTGGAAAAAAATATATATATATTTAAAGGAGTGGTATTCTCCCCGAGATTTCTAACACATTTATTAAGCCAAACATGAGTGAATAGTTTTCAGGGCGATAAAACTTTATATATATATATATATATATATACATATACACACAACACACACACACACACACACGTATGTGTGTGTATATATATATATGCACACACACCTATGTATCTGATAAAATTGTGATGTTTTGTTCAAAGTTGTAGTTCTTGTGCATGTTTATTAGACTACAAGGCTTCTGGCATTAATTAAATATTAATACCAAATATTTTAGCCTTAAATTATTTGTCATTTTAGAATCTAATTTAATGTTTTCTGCTGTTTAAGGTCTTGGGAGATTTTCAATTGTATTTTATATGAGAGAGTCTCACAAGTTTGTACTATTTATGACCCTGCAAAAAATATAACCATAATATATTTAACTTGTAAATTTTAAAGGGTGCCAGTACATGGTATATCATTGAAAATTTCTTATAATTTTTAAAAGTTGCTAGTACTAGGGGGAAATAAACATTGATTAATTTGAGAATTGGTAATTTCCTTGGCTAATTAAAACCTAGAAGTCTGTTCTGTATACAATATAATACAAATGTAAGTTCTGGACAAATGCCGAGTCATGATAATAGTCAGTAGCCAAGTTATATTGAATATAACAGAATCTGCGTTTAATTATATAATTAAGAGTCCCTATTTTAAACTGAGTTATTTGGAAATATTTTAACTGTTTTTCTGGAATTTTTGTCATTTTAAAAATCAATAATTTATCCTTAAGGAGTGGTGAGAACGCAATGAAAACAGATGATAAATATTTATGCTTAAAATATGTATGTCTAATTGAGTCTCTTTTCTATGCTGTTTCCTTGTTGATGGTATTTGTTGTAGCAGGATTGATTTGTTTCCTTGCCTGGGGAACCTATTCCATGTCTGCCACTCAAAGTTCAGGAAGAATGTATTGTACAGAGATGAGAGAATTTAATATAGATGCATTGAAGATACCTTACAAGTAGATAGTTTTTTTTGTTGTTGTTTATTTATCTGGTGAATACCAATTTTACCCAAATAATTTTAGTGGTACTGTTTTTTTTAACCCCATGGTCTGATATTTATGACTCATTAGCAGGAATCACAACTACTGATCCAGCAGAACACCTACAAAATAAAAATTTAGAATGCAGAGATTTTTATGAAAATTTAGAAGAGCTCCCTAAATATCATGGGTTTTTCTATAAAACTTCCTTGGGCATAGCAATACTAAGTCTGCCCAGAATTGGTTCACTTCTCCTCATTGACATGTAAATCCTTAGTGGCTGATTAGGGCTCCCATCATTTCCCATTTTATAGCAATCCTGTGATGATTTTCTTATTGGCAGATTATTATATCAACAATTCTATTATTGACTACAATAATACCTTCTGGCTACCTCTGTATCAAACAAATTCTGTAGGTGCAAACATATACCAGGGCATTGTTACCGGCAAAATGGTCAACCTTGAGCATCCATCCACTGTGAATAGAGCAAGTTGCCCTACTTCTTTTCCCTCCCAAACTTTCTTATTTTCTGAATGTAGGTAATGAAATACTGGCAGGGTGGGAAGGGGGCCCACTGGGCATAATATATTAGCAGTGCAAGAAACCGCAAGAATCTTTAGTCCAACCACTTAAAACTAAATGGAGCCATAATTTAATTTGGAGAGTCATTTTAATTTTTCTTTGGCACCAAGGAAAATATGGAACCAAAAACAAACTCTCTAAATGTATTCATTCATTCAGCAAAATTTTTGCATGCTTTTAATGTCTTGGGGCCCTAGTGGCTCAGTGGTTAAGAGCTTGGCTGCTGACCAAAAGGTCAGTAGTTCAAATCCAGCAGCAGCTCCTTGGAAACCCTATGGGAAAGTTCTATTCTGTCCTAGAGGGTCGCTATGAGTCAGTATCGCCTCGACAGCAATGTGTTTTGGGTTTTGGTTTTTATGTTTTACCTTCTCGGAATTTGGGTATGATTAAAACAGAGAAGGCCGCTGCTCACCATGAAAACTGCAGTCCAGTAGTGGAGTAGGAAGGAGGCATTGAGGAGTAAGGTAATAAACAAATAGGATAATTTCCAATAGGCAAAATATCAATTAAGAGAATGAAAACAGGGCAACAGGATGGAAAATGACTGGGTGAGGTAAGAATTGATTATTTTAGATTTGATAACTGGTTTGGAGAGGAGGGTGATATTTTAACACAGACTCAAGTGATGAGAAAGAACCAGTATTACCAAGATTAATTTATCTGAGTCAGCTCTATTCCTGTCTTTTCCAGATACATATGAGAAAGATGTGATGTCTGCTTGTAATTGCATTTTAACCTTATTGCTAGGTTGATCACAGATTTTTGCGGAGGGGTGAATCCCAGTTTACACCCAGTGTACCAGTGTTATTATTAATAGCACTCTCTTTCACTCTCAAAATGTCTTGGTTTGGATAATAAATTATTTGGTCACCTTAATTTTTTGTTGAAACTAACTTATGAAATCTAATATATTTGGATAAAAATAAAGAACTGCTTTTTCTTCTCCTTTTGCTGTTCTTTTTTTTTTTTTTTTTAATACTCTGATCATTCCAAGCAAAATCATGTCAGTTTCATATATTTCACCCCGGAGGACTTCTTCTCAAAGTGATTTCATGTAACATTTGTTCTATCTGTACGTGACTTTCGTCAGCAGTGAAAAGCTATGCATTTTATTGAATGAGTAAAAATAAACCTCTCTTATTTCCATTTTAGAAAGTTGTAAGAGCTTAAATCAAAGAGAATCCAAGTCAACTTCAGCCGAGATCATTTTCAGTCGACTGATACGGTGGTGTTGGAAAGCAACATACAGTGTGATCATTGAACTGAATAATTCTGCTTAACAACTGGAGAGTAGTTCCTTTTTGTAGAGTTTTCATGATATAGCTCCTGCCGTGGTAAAATGCTTCATTCTATTTATCAAAATGATGTAAGTAAAGGAAATAAAATTACTTTGATGATGCTCACTTTAGTTTAAATATTAACCCTTCTCAGCAATATGTAACATTTGTAAATATATGCCAAAGGAAAAATAAGGATATTTTACCGTGAATTTTATCTGAAAAAAAATTCTTCTTTTGCTATTTTATTCATATATGGCTTTAAATACTATACAAAGTATTCAATTGTCTAAGTACATAGGTTATTCTAAAGGCCTTAGAGAGACGGTTTGTCTGGCCAGGGTGGGGTAATATGCATTATTTCTATTGGAGGAAAAATTAGGACTTGGTCAGGCTGGCTCACATTTTGCTTGTACTTTGACAATTTCTCCCGGTCTATACTAGGAGGGGGGTTCAGCTTGACTGCACAGCACGCCTGCGAACTCTGCTTCAGAATTTATGCTTTGAATTACATTGTAACAGTTCAAACTAGCATCAAACTAACCGCTTTTTTTTCTGGCATGCAATCTATAATTATTTAAATGTACAAGGTCATTTAGGTTACAAAAATATAAACTCATATATTCAAAACTGCGAGTTCAGTTTTATCAAAAAAACTGTATTAAACTATCGAAACATGATTGGGTTTGTTTTTTACAGTGTGCTTGCCATCTTTCCACATTCCAGCAGTTGATTATTCACATTCCTTGGTTGAGTTTGTTTATCCTGAAGGGCAGTGATTCAGTCCATTCAAGTCACTCCCTGAGGGTACTTTTTTTTGTCTCCTTACTGAGGAGATGCTTCAGCAATGTGGAACCTGAATTTAATACTGTAGGTTACTTGAGAGCCATGTTCCCTGGAGGAAGCTTCACGAACATTGCACCCTTTGCTGAACCAGTCTTTCCAAACGCCACAGTAAGTAAAGAACACAAATGCATAGTTTTCCTAGTTTTCTTTAAATATTGAATCATCTTTGAATAAAATGTTCAGTTACTTCTCCTGAAACTGTTTCATAGAAAAGGTGTGTTCTTAATCTTGGATTCTGATGAGTTGTGTAATATGTAATGTGCCCAACATTCAGGAATGTCACAGGATTAGTTTAAAAAGCAAAGTTCTTACAGCTTCTGACCTGTCAGGGCCCAAAGAAGATGGTCAGCATCATTTTGATGTTGATGTGTGCCAATGAGTCGATTCTGACTCATAGTGACCTTATAGGACAGAGTAGAACTGCTCCATAGGATTTCCTAGGCTATAATCTTTATGGGTGGTGTAGCGGTTAAGAGCTACGGCTGCTAACCAAAAGGTCGGCAGTTCGAATCCACCAGGTGCTCCTTGGAAACTCTGTGGGGCAATTCTACTCTATCCTATAGGGTTGCTATGAGTTGGGATCTCCTCGACGGCAATAGGTTTGGTTTGGCTTTTGGTTTTTTGTTTTTCTTTTAATCTTTATGGGAACAGATTGCCAGGTCTCTTCACTGGCAATGGGTTTGGTTTGTTTTTTGTTTTTTTTTTTTTAATCTTTATGGGAGCAGATTGCCAGGTCTCTTCACTGGCAGAGCAATTGGTGAGTTTAAACAGCCACGCTTTTGGTTAGAGCACAGCGCTTAACAATTGCGCCACCAGGGCTCCTCAGCATCATTTAGTAAACTTTTTTTATCCCAAATTGTGAATTTCTTTACCTGAAAAGCTTCCTTGATATCATGGCTGTCTGAGAAAATATGGGCCACATATGATTAATCAATGCTGCAGAGAACAAATATGGCAGACCCAATATATCCTCATTGCTTACTGAGAATGACATCAATAACTCAAGTTTATCCTTTTCCAGCTCTGCTCTTGCCAATCACTTTCATGGTAATTTGCATACATTTTTTGAACCCTCACAATGTCTCTAAATGTTAGAGATTATCCTCATTTCACGCTTGAAGAAACTGATTCGTAGAGAGGCTGTTTAGTGGGCTTTTTAATTAAATTTGTGAGCATAAGGAGTAATTTCCTGCCTTCTGGGAGTATAAAGTCTATGGAGAATCCTTTTTTAACAACCACATATCCCAGACAATTTGGATGCCTGAACATAGGTATTCAATGACTGTGTTCAATGGTTTCAAACCTGCAGGATGCCTGAAATGGCGTCTGCATTGTCCCTCCTGTGATTTGGAGAAGTGATGGGTGGAAGGTGACAAGAGTGCAAAGTACAGATGGAGTCAGGTTTGTGTGTTGTTTAAAGAAAAATGAAAGTAAGTAAGAGAAGGAAAAATTCAACACAAAGTAAATATGAAGGAAGAGGGGAATTTTAAGTGGAACACAGAGAAATGCATGAACAACAAAAACGTAAAGGAAAAGCCAAACTGAAAAGACAGGTTGCCGCTGGATACCTGAAAATAATAATTATAAAATGTTACAAATAAGGAGAAAACTGTCTCATACCTTGGTACTTCATACTCAAATGTAAAAAGAAAAAGAAAAAAAAGTATATTAATATTTTGCTATATATTATGCTATGTTATATAGGAGCCCTGGTGGTGCAGTGGTTAAGAGCTCAGCTGCTAACCAAAAGGTCGGCAGTTCCAATCCACCAGCCACTCCTTGGAAACCCTATGGGGCAGTTCTACTCTGACCTGTAGGGTCGCTATGAGTTGGAAGCAACTCAACAGCAATGAGTTTTTTATAAGTTGTATAATGTTTCGTGTATTTAAAAGAAATAAAATGTAGTAGATACAGCTAAATTAGCCACTCCTTCTCATCCAAACTTTCCCTCCCTCTTTCATGAGAAATCGTCACTATCTGTAAATTTGTGTGCATATTTCCTACGCTTGTATACACACACATACACATATCTAAAAGCATATACACACATACAAACATGTATATATATATATTTATATAGGACACAGTAGAACTGGCCCGTAGGGCTTCCAGGGAGTTGCTAGTGGATTCAAACTGCTGACCTTTTGGTTGGTAGCCGAACTCTTACCCACTGCACCACCAGAGCTCCAGATAATACACATATATATATACATATCTATGTATATATACACATATACATATGCACGTGTGTACTTATGTGCGTGTGTATATATATAAAGAGTCATGCAGTTCCTACAAGATTTGTTACAGTAAAACAAGTCACCCCTCTCTCCCCAGAGGCAACCACTTTCAAATCTTCTGAGTCACTCTATTGTTATTTATATGCAAATTTCTCATAGGACATTGTTAATATTGCTTTTTCTTCGTTTTTCAATTTGGCACAATATCTGTTTACACTGTGGTAGATGAATATTCTATTTCAATTCTCTCTACCCAGTATTGTCACATACATGGCAACGCTTCGATCTGTTATACATAAGATCGCCATGCGTCCAAGCTGGCTCCATGGCAACTACCAACAACCAACTAGCACTTCACATCCACCACTTGCACTTTACCCTAAATCGCAGTATAGTTCTATCATAATTTTAATTGGCTCGGTCATCAGTGTTTTCATTAAGTTCTATCGGAACTGAGCCCATGTGTTTTAATTATTTTTCTCAATCTTCTCAATATTTTCCCCCAGGCTTGATAATTGTCTTGTTTTTTTCTTTGCTTATTTTATGCATTTATTTATCACTAATTCAGCCACACAGCCTTTCCCAATTGTAAATATTTTCTTGTTAATTCACCAAACACATATTTGATCAGTTTTATCTTCTTGAAAAAATCTCTACCAAGGTGGTGTTGGCTACACAGCTGTTCTCCCTTCGTCATCATGATAGGAATTCCCTTTACCTCATTCCTGGTGCAGAAACTCTGTTTCATGGATCTTGTATTTTCTTTTTCCAAGGCTTACTCCTTTATTTTATTGTATTGTAAAATATATGTAACACTAACTTGCCAC